TAAGGGAGAGCCCAGCCACCCTACGGAGGAAACCCATTTCGGCCGCTTGTATCCGCGATCTCGTTCTTTCGGTCATGACCCAGAGTTCATGACCATAGATGAGGGTAGGAACGTAGATCGACAGGTAAATCGAGAGCTTCGCTTTTTGACTCAGCTCTCTCTTCACCACGACGGACCGGTACAGCGCCCGCTTCACGGCAGACGCTTCACCAATCCGCCTGTCGATCTCCCGCTCCCTTCTTCCCTCATTCGTGAACAAGATCCCAAGATACTTAAACTCCTCCACTTGGGGCAGGACACCCCCCCTGACCCGGAGAAGGCACTCTACCCTTTTCCGGCTCAAGACCATGGCCTCGGATTTGGAGGCACTGATCCCCATCCCGGCCGCTTCACACTCGGCTGCGAACCAATCCAGCGAGAGCTGCAGATCACGACCTGATGAAGCCAATAGGACCACATCATCTGCAAAAAGCAGAGACGCAATACTAAGGCCACCAAAACGGATCCCCTCAACACCTTGGCTGCGCCTAGAAATTCTGTCCATGAAGGTAATGAACAGAATCGGTGACAAAGGGCAGCCCTGGCGGAGTCCAACTCTCACCGGAAACGAGCCCGACTTACTGCCAGCAATGCGGACCAGGCTCTGACACCGGTCATACAGGGACCTGACAGCCCGTATCAAAGGGCCTGGCACCCCGTATTCCCAGAGAACCCCCCACAGGGCCCCCCGGGGGACACGGTCGAATGCCTTCTCCAAGTCCACAAAGTACATGTAGACTGGTTGGGCGAACTCCCATGCACCCTCCAGGACCCTGCTGAGCTTGTAGAGCTGGTCCAGCATTCCACGACCAGGAATGTCGCAGGTCGCCGAGGTGGTTAAAAAGCTCCTCGGTGGCAGGGCCCCGGGGGTGGATGAGATCCGCCCAGAGTTCCTCAAGGTCCTGGATGTTGTAGGGTTGTGTTGGCTGACACGACTCTTCAACATTGCATGGACATCGGGGGCAGTCCCCCTGGATTGGCAGACTGGGGTGGTGGTCCCCCTGTTGAAAAAAAAATGTACAGTTCTAACTTTTTTTTTTCTTAGTTTTATGCTTCTTAGTTATCTCTTTTCCAAAAATGTATCTAATGTGTTTTTGGTATATATATTCCTTGGTCTAGTTTTAGTTGGTTATTCTTTTTCTTAGCTTTAGGTGAGGTTTCCCATGGCATATCCACTCCCTTTTCTTATCTTTCTCCTAGTATTTCCCTTTTAATTCCTTAGTTTCTTGTCATTAGTTTTATTCCTCTTTAGTTCTTTCTAGTCATCTTTAGATCCTGTTGTTTCTCCCTGGTTGTTCTTTGCTGCCCCCTGCTGTCCTTTCCTTTCCCCTTGGCTCCTTCTAATTATTGTCCACACCTGCTCTCTTTTTACCTCATTAAATTTTGCACGTAATCATCTCTGCATCTCTTCTACTCTGCATGTGGGTCCACAGCAACATCCACCAACCCTGAAAAATATGGTATGGTTGTGCCACATAGTCAGTCTCCGCCCCTTTCTGTGTGCTGCAGTGAGGTGCGTTTGTCTTACACTGCAGGCTGTCAGTCATGTCCACTGTCAGACTCGGGTCAAATATTTTTATTTTTTTTACAGTGTCCTGTCTGGCAATCTGGCAATAAGAATAATTGTCTTGGTGCCAAAAAGAGCCCAACAGATTTTACTTTCACAAGTGGAGCAGTACGGCTATCGCCATAGTGTCCCACTTGTTTCATGCATATAAATTGCTTTATTATTATTATGTAGGGAGTTTTACATTTTATATGGACATTGCAATGTAAATAGAACAGGAAAGGGGAAAAAAGGAGAAAAGATGAAAGAAAGAGGAGATAAAAGGGAGATAATGATAAAAACATCTCAGTCGGCTTCATCACCTGCAAAGAGATGTAAAAAAATAACAGCACAACCAATGGACGTGTATGAGACATTACTTACTTGAAGATCAGAATATGGGCTTTCTGTGTGGAAGTGAATCTCTGAGTACCTGGAACCAAGCACCTGTAGTTGATTTGCAATTTAGCTTAAGAAAGGGGCTGAAAATTACTTTTTGGTCCTTAAGGGGAGTCCTGTAAGCAGGAGGCTTAAAAGTTTCTTTTTTGACCTGGATTTGTCTGCAGATATGCTTACATTAGTTGTTTTCCTACAGAGGTTCTTATGAAAGCTGAATAAAGTGTAGAAAAAGAGAAGATGCTTTTAAAGTGGAGCTAAACACATACATCTTACTAGTTCTCTTACATAAAGGGATCATACATTTTTTTAAAACATGTTTTCTCCAACCTCCCAATGTAGGAATCTGAATCACACACTTTAACTGGTTTCTGCAAAACATCATAAGTGCATAAACATTTCTCTGATTTTATCTAAGAGAACATTTATCACACATAATGTGCATTAGTGTGTCTTCTGCACACAGTGGCTGTCACTCTCTCTCTCTCTCTCTCTCTCTCACACACACACACACACACCACACCCCCAACTATCAGCAAGAATCAGGCCATTTATGTCTTGACATATTCACACAATTAAGTCACCTTAATGTGAGTGGACAGGCGCCTATTGCCCTGGCTGCCAGACACAATAAACCATAATTACACATTCATTAAATGCAAACATCTGAAAAAATGTCTTCTGTTATTCTCTGAGGGGCAAAGAATAAGGAATTCCACTGTTGCATGCTAAGATTCAGGGCAAACATGTTGCCCAACTTGACTGCTGCTGCAAGAAAGAACATAAGGAGCTCTGCATCTTTCTGCTCTGCATTGAAATGAGGATTTCAAAGACTGCAAGAAGCAAAATATTCCAGGGCAGAAACAACAACAAAACTCTGCTAAATAAATGACTGTCAATGTTATGTTAAGGGCTTTTGTGAAGTGATAGTGCATGGGATGAAAATTGTAGAATTGTTAAACTGGCTCATCTAAAACCAAATATTTATACTTTGTGTAAATGAGTGTATAGTTGGTTGCATGTATCACTCCATGAACAAAAATTACAGGCAATCTGTATATTAACTGATGTACCAGCTAATTTGGCTGAACCCTGCAAACTCTAATGGAGCGTTCACATTAATTACTGAGGGACAGGAGCATTTAGTTTTCATGCAAAATCTATGGTGGCTCTGATTTTCTTATAATAAAATACTTATAATAACATACTTAGGTTATCCTGAGCTATCTCTATAGTTCTGCTGCTATAGGCTTAGACTGCTGGAGGACATAGGGACCCCTTTTTCATCATTCTGCTTCATTCTATCTCTATTCTCCCACTCTGTAGAATCTGTTAGTTCAATCTCTAACGTTCTGCTCTCTCTGCTTTTTCTCATAGTAGCTTCATCTGGTCTGTTCCTGTTTGGCTGTGACTCCATCCTGGAGAGAAATATCAGCTGTGCTGCTGCCATCAACACCTTTGTTTCTAGATGTTGGAGCTTGGCCTGTTTTTCAGTGTAGTCCTGTTTCTCTGACTGTGACTAACTGGATGTGCTCTCTTCATCCTCTGACATGGGAGCTGGCTCGGAGCTCGTCTGCCTGGCTGTGTGTTTCCTGGACGGGGCCGCCTGTGGAGCTGGTTGACAGTTGCCTTTTGTATCTATGCTTCTTTTTCTATGTCTGCTTCTGTCTCCTTGAACCCCAGTCGGCCTCAGCAGATGGCCGCTCACACTGAGCCTGGTTCTGCTGCAGGTTTCTTCCTGTTATAAGGGAATTTTTCCTCTCCACTGTCCCTACAAGCATGCTTAGTGTAAGGGATTGAGACTGAAGACTGAAGAGTCACACAACCTGTCTTTTCATTTATATGCTGACAACTTGCAGATATATTTGCCCTTGAAACCAAATAAAAACATTGCATTCACTAAGCTACTGGACTGCATCACAGATATAAAGCAGTGGCTGTCACAGAACTCTTTGCACTTAACAACAGGAAAACCGAATTCATTTTGTTTGGTTCTCCATCTATTTCAAACGTTCTCACCACAAACTCCAGCAATCTAGCCCCCCTTTTTATATCTCATGTCAAAAATCTTGGGGTAACATTTGATAATGGGCTCAAATTTGACAAACAGATTAGCTCCGTTGTCAGCTCGAGCTTTTTCCAGCTCCGTCTTTTGGCCAAAGTCAAGTCCTTTCTCAGTGGGCAGGATGTTGAGAAGGCAATCCATGCTTTTATTAGTTCAAGACTGGACTACTGCAATGCCCTTTACGTTGGCCTCAGTCAGTCATCAATTTCTCGTCTCTAACTTGTGCAGAACACTGCTGCCCGATTTTTAACAAACACATCCAGACGTGAACACATTACTCCTGTGCTGTCGTCACTCGACTGGCTTCCAGTCCGTTTAAGAATTGATTTTAAACTTCTGCTGTTTGTTTTTAACGCCATTCATGGCTTTGCCCCCTCTTACTTGTCTGAGATTTTAACTTTCCGCAATTGTGGCAGAGCTTTACGCTCCTCGGGTCAGCTTCTGTTAGAGATCCCTAGGTCAAGACTCAAACAGTGGGGCGATCGTTCTTTTGCCGTCGCTGCTCCCGGACTGTGGAACAAACTACCCCCTGACATCCGCACCACTACTGACCTCAGCCTTTTTTTTAAAAGCTTAAAACCCACTTTTTTAAATTAGCATTTAATTCTGACTATAATACTGTCTCTTAGATATCCTTCTTTTAATTGTATCTCTATGTCTTGTATGTGTTATGTATTGTTTTGATGGCTTTGTTGTGAAGCACTTTGGGTACCATTTGGCTATTATAAAGGGTTATACAAATAAACTTGATTGACTGATTGAAGAGTCAATGAGTCGGTGCAATCAGCTGGTTTTCCATAGATAGAAAACTTTGAATCAATCTAACTGGATGATCTGGTTGAACTGGAAACTGACCTGAGATGACAGGATGGGAATTGGAGCTATAGAAATAAACTGAATAGAATTGAAATGAATTGAATCATCATCGGACTGAGTGTAAAGCCCCGCTCTTACGCCGGCACGGTGGCAGAGCCTGTCTGGTCGGTGAGTCGTCACCTGATGAGGAGAAGTCCACGGAGGAACAGGGGCCTCGTTCCTCTTGTGGAAGGGGATAAAGCTGGACTGTGACTCTGTAGCAGCGTACCCCCCACTGCAGAGACCAGGGAACAACAACAGACCCACCATCATCAGGAGGTTCAGCAACCGGAAACAAAACACAGGAAAGGTGGCTAAAGGGGTCAGACGTATTCATCCGACATCGCGAGGAAGTGAGTATTTCAACTCTTAAACTTGAGTGTATGTTTGACTGAGTAGCTTTTAGTGGTAGTGAAGTAAGGTTTGACAATAATTATTAATACTTTTACTCAGGTGCTACTGCTGAGTACTTTGTCTACAACTATTGCATCTTGAAAACGTTCCTTGGTGAAGCAAAGTAGTTTTGTCAGGTTTGTCCAGGACTGTAGTTTACATCGTTTTAATTAGTAATTTAGATTAAGAAAAGGGATGCAAATAGCTTTTTGGTCCTTAAAGGGAGTCCTGCAAGCAGGAGGCCTTCCTGTTTAATTCACTGAAATTCATTTTTAGGGAATGCATGGAAGGTTGACCTCCTTCAGGCATGTCCTGAGTGGGTCCTGGAGGGCCGCTGTCCTGCAGGTTTTAGAGGCTTCTCCTTCAGCACAGCTGATTCCCATGATTTAGTTCAGTTAAAGCCTGTTAATCAACTATCAGTGAAAATAATCAGCTATGCTGGAGCAGGAAACCCTCTAAACCCTACAGGACAGCGGCCCTCCAGCGGCCCTCCAGCGGCCCTCCAGCGGCCCTCCAGCGGCCCTCAGGGACCCACTTTGGACATGCCTGCTAGCTAAACCCATGGAAACCTTCACACTTACGTTACCTCTCTTAGTTTTTCCCCGCATTTCCTAATCTGATGTCATTTTCAATATTTCATTAAGGTCTACAGGCTGCAGTCAGTGATGGAGTTACCTTTGATCCGATTGCTTGTGTTAACATTCGTCTTTGCAAAGAACGACTTGAAAATAAAAGCACAGCACAAACTGGAGTCTTTCAAAAGTAATCTGAAGGAGAGACTGGTGTAGGTGTGTGTGTGTGTGGGGGGGGTCTGTGCATTTGTGTGCACATCCTCCTCCTTCTGCTAACAATAATAGCTCTGTGGAGGGTACACACCACTACAACTCTTGATAAAGATACAGAGAGTAAAGGCGCAGGAATGGAGAGGCCAGAAAAAAGAGGTCTGATTTGTGGAGTGTGCCTCACACCCTCCTGTGGGTGTACCCTTCCCTTTGGGTGCCCCTCTCCTCTCTCTCTTCTCTCCCGTTCCTTTCTTCTTTGCCACTCTGATGTAATCCAAAGGCCTCCACAGGAGCAGCTGCACAGCGAACCAGTCTTCCCTCCGTCCCTCTCCCTTTCTCTAAATCTCTTTCTCTCTTTTCTTTGCACATTCACAGGCATGTGAGGTGAGGCGCGGGAGAGGAGGGCGCTCAGACACAATTGGGGTCTTTTTCTGTCCCAAAAAAGGGGCTATCGCCTCACTTCTCCTTCTGTCGACCCTCTACTGTACTATACTGAAGGCGGGTGGTTGGCTGAATGCAACAGCACAGTGTTCAAAGGCAAACATAGAGAGGCTCTATATAGAAACACTACATCCACAGAGAAAATGTCTGGATTTAAAGCCTGCCTGCTTAGTTATAATATTTAGAATAGACGAAAGAAAATATAATCATAAAGGTCACCTGAATTTATCAAAGCCAAGAGGAAAATAAGATTCACTTTAAACTACTCACACTGTAGTGTTTTAAGAGATATTACAATCTGAGTAAATGAGCTTTGTAATTTATTTATTGAAATATTTATATTTTAAAACATATTTGAAGCTTTGCTAACAGCCCCTATAGGTTGAAATGCTCATTAAAAATCAGAGTATCAGAAGATTCATTGCCTTGAAATCTCATGTTCATGGTGGATTAATTTCCACCTGTTATCTGCAGGTGTGGTCTGACGTTTCCAGAAACTTAGATTAGATTTAAAAACAGCCACTTGCCGTTAAAATTAAAATGTTTAACAAGAATAAATTCACACGACATTCTTTTACATTTAATGGATGGGGAAAGCTGCATGTCCTGAACCAAGAAATGGACACTGGGTTAAAGGCCAGAACACACTGAATGTGATTTAGCATCTGATCTGACAGAAAATCGCCCCTCAGAGGTCGCAGCGTTTAGCGCTGATTGAAAGTCAGAGGGGACGATTTCCAGCAGGGGGCAGCGTAGCTCCGACTGAGATAGAGCCCAGGTCGAGGTTAGTCGGACTACGCAGCAATTCAGCAGCAATTTCATGGATCTGACAGAAAGAGAGACGTGGTTTAAAAGTAAAACACATGGAGGAAAATAAAAAATAAAATCTGTTAATCTGACGGGGAAAGAGTCAGTTTAAAGTCGCTCATCATGTTTATAGTGAGCAGGACAGACTGGAGCAAAAACAATGAATGAAACATTAAAATAGAAAACTTTCCCCATGATAGGAGTTCAGGAGGCAGGGGTGGGGCTAGATGGGGGCCAGGGGGGGCCATGGCCACCCTTACCCAATCATTGGCCACCCCTGTGGCCACCCCTGTGGCCACTCCTACTAATTTTTCCCTCTAATACAGGTGGTGGCAGCAGTAATTCTCTCAAGAGGAATATTCAAAGTATTCATTTTATTTTTTTGTGGTTAATTATAATTATCAATATACTAACATTAAGATGATAAAAACAGAATTCCTGCTCTTTTCAGAACTAGATTTTGTGATATATGGGGTAAAGAGAAAATGTGTCTGCAAGTCATCTGGGAGTCTTCAGTGAAATCATAGATAAATAACAATTTTAATAAAAACATATCAAATAATCAATTTATTTAGATATTAGTGCTTGTAAATATCAATTTTATGCAGAATGTTTATTGATCCAAGTAGGTAAGTAATGAAAATGGAAAAGATTTATGCCCCAGATTATAAAACTGAAAGAATTTTATCCACCATACCTTTTATTTAGAAAGCATGAATGTTTAAATATATGTGTCTACTTGTTAGCAAAAGCTGTAGGAAAGTAGAGTTTGTCTTTATTTAGAAAATATAGATGTTTTGCACGTTAATTTTCCTGTTGAAACAGTGTAGAGTGACCCACTGACCAATGAGTATTTGCGTTCTATGACTCATCCAATCACACTAGTTTTCACTAGATGTGGGTGGAGCCAATGATCTGCATTGGATGGAGCACATGACGAGAAATAAATATTTAGAAACATTAAACCATGGGAACCAATTAAAAATCAGTGGGTCTGAATAAAGAAAATCATCAACCAGTAAAGGTCTGCAGACATTTTTAATGATCTGTTACTTTAAACAGAATTTAACACTGAAATAAAATGAGATATTTATGCATTCGTGTTACACATTGAATTTTGAAATAAAAAAAAAATAATTAAAAAAATAGAAATTGCCAAAGATAGCATCCCGTGCTATCTCAGAGGAGCTGACACTGTATTCCTGTAAATCCATCAGTAGTTAAAGGTCAAAGATCAGCAAATGCTAATTCTTCCTGTAAAACAATGACAGCGTAATTGTTGCTTTATGATCTGAAGCCTCATTTGGAGCTTTTAAACAGGATTTTGAAAAACTTTAATAATTTGCTGCTATAATATAATATGCTGATGAAGATTCTCAGTCATCCAGATCATAGTTATTCCATAAAATTTAAAACAAAATCCACTGGACTTGGTTGGACTTGGTTTCATCACTTGAATTGAGAAAGCTTCCTGGAGAGGTCGCGAAACGTCTTCAGATCTTGGAAACCAAGTCCAGTGGATATTTTTTGAACTTTTACTGTATAATATAATAGATTTTTTAGAATAAAAAGCAAGAAGATGTGCATAATCACAAAACAACAGAAATACAATTATAGAGCATTCAGTATTGTAAGAAAGCCCACACAGTTTCTGAATAAATACATTATTGTATTAGTTAAGTTCTGTTCCCTATATGTCTCTTTCCTTGTAAGGCTGAAATGTCCCATGCTCCTGAATGCACCATAGCTATCTGACGCTCGTGAATGCATCACACTGGTCTGTAAACGTTGTGCTGTGTAGATGCGTGATTAATTTTCCGCTTCAGACAAAGCTTTGCAGTTTCCAAACTCCCGTCGGCATCACTGTTTATTGTTATGCTTTTCCTCAGAGTAGCTTTGCCTCGTCTGTTCCTGTTTGGCTGTGACGTCATCCTGGAAAGAAACATCAGCTGTGCTGCTTCCATCAACACCCTTGTTTATATGTTGGAGATCGGCCTGTTTTCCAGTGTGGTCCTGTTTCTCTGACCGTGACTGAGTGGATGTGCTCTCTTCGTCCTCTGGCATGGGAGCTGCCTTGGAGCTCGTCTGCCTGGCAGTATGTTTCCTGGACGGGGCCGCCTTTTAAAGCTGCTTTTTGTATCTCTGCTTCTGTCTCCTTGAACCCCAGTCGGCCTCGGCAGATGGCCGCTCACACTGAGCCTGGTTCTGCTGGAGGTTTCTTCCTGTTAAAAGGGAGTTTTTCCTCTCCACTGTCGCTACAAGCATGCTTAGTGTGAGGGATTGCTGAAGAGTCAATGCAATCAACTGGTTTTCCTTAGATAGAAAACTTTGTATCAATTTGACTTTATGATCTGGTTGAACTGTAAAGTGCCTTGAAATGACATGTGTTGTGAATTTGGCGCTATATAAATAAACTGAATTGAATTGAAATTGAATTGTGTGTGAAAAACAAGAGACTAGAACAAATAAATTAGCCGAACCTCGAACACAATCTTTCGATTTAATGTTGTTCATAATATCCATACTGGGGATGCATATCTAGGCAGGGATGCACTTTTCAGCATAACACCAGACCGCAGTCCGCTAATCCGTGACCTCTGCATTAAACCGAAGCCAAGAGTAATGAGTAAATATTGTTTTAAAATGTAAGGAATAGAAAGTACTGATACTTGTGTAAAAATGTAATGAGTAGAAGTCAGAATTAGGAGGGAAAATAAGTAATGGAGTAAAGTATAGATACCTAGAAAGGGTACCTAAGTTTCGTTACTTGTCACCTCTGAGAAACACGTTACCCTTTTATCGTTGATGCGGATGTAGCTGCAGTACTTGCAAAAACCAGAGAGGGGCAGTGATAGAAATAACAAGCACAAAGGTTAACAGGTTCTGCATGCATAACTTTTAACGAGTCAATGTGCAAAGACTTTTACTACCTAGGGGGAAAATATGTCACCAATCTGATGAAAAATGAAAAACAGCTTTACTCATCATTAAAGATTGAACATTTATCGTGCACATCAAAAATATATATATATCAATATATTTCGAAATATTTAATTTTATAATAAAATGTTGATTTTTTATTATTTCTTAATCAAGGTTATTGGGTGGGGGGTGTGGCGCTGTAGTCCCCCCTGTTGGCAAGTCGCACCTGCACACAACACTGATAACCTGACTCCGCCAGATGGATTTGCTCCGCATATCCATCTGGAAACCTTCCGTTGAAGTAATTTTGGGAAGGGGCGAAAATACTGGTTAGCTGATTGGCCTATGTTGGTGATAGACGGGCCAAATAAACCAATCAGATCAACGAAGCATATGACATACTAACAGAGCGACGACGAAGAGGAGCCAATTGATAGATCAAACTCTTGCCGAAACCAGTCGGGAGAAGAGCAGAAACATCTTTTCCTCTGAGAAAAGCCTCCAGAGCAGTGTTTTGCTCTTCTTAAGTGAAGAAATACTCTGTAATTCCCATAAAACTTGCTCGATAGCCACGCTAACACTAGTTTCATCGGCTGAAGCCGCCATGTTCTTTAGACTGAACTGTCGCGCTTCTCGTTGCGTCACACCTCAACCCGCCTCAAAGCCAACGCTGATTGGACGTTCGTTTGGTGAACGGCTCCAAATTTTCTTTAACGGAGAGTAGCCAGACTGATCTGCGAGTGAAACCTTGAAAGCTCGCGAGATCAGGATGGTCTCACGAGGCTGCAACACTGAGGCTCTGGATCAGAAAGGTCAGAGCAGACCTTTCCTGCTGAGCAGACAGCAGGGGGCGCTCCTGACGACTTTCTAGGACTGCTGTGGCATCAGCCATCTTCTGGGGAGCTGTCTGTTGTAGCAGTGGCTCATCTGTAGCTGAGAGGAAGCATCTGGATCAGCTGATCAGGAAGGCCAGCTCTGATTGGATGCCCTCTGGACTCAGTGCAGGAAGTGGGAAACAGACGGATCCTAACTAAATGAACATCTCTGTTTTGTTTGTGTGCTTGACTAGAGGTGGAAATTTATCAAGGAAGATGAGATAATTTTTTTGTTCAATATTATGTTTCATAGGTTTAATTCAAACAATCAGAAAGTCGAATGCTAAGTCACATTCAACGCCATCAGAAAAGCTTCTGCTGCTTCATTGTTGATGCTTTTCCTCATTAAGGTCAGACGTCCAGTACAGTGAGCACTGTCTGTCTCACTGCCAGCTCCCAGATCAGCTTCTCTCATTGGTTGGTGTGACGCAACCAGCAGCAAAACTTCAACCTTTCCAACTCCATCATCTGTTGCTTGGGACATTTTAAACATTTGAGTGAAGTTTCCAGGGCCTACAATTTTTCATTTTTTAGTAAAGGCTGTACAATGAACAGCCGTACACATCTCTAACTAAAAGCCTGGTGCACACCTTGTTACTAGCCCTCACAGTGTCAATCTATTGGTTTTCAATGCTGCTACATTCTAATTCATTGTGATTATTTGTTTATTGTTCAATGTAAAACTGAATAAAACTGTTTTGGTTGCATTTAAGAGCTCTGCATCAGTTATTTCCATTAATCTGCTGCTAATTTAAGCACATCCCGCATTAAACGCGACCATCCCTTTTTCATTGGACTCTCAGACCCTTTCCCCCCTTTTATTAGCCTTTCATAGTGCTTGAATAGAGGTTATCTCAGATCCACCCCTTTATGGTTAACACTCAAAGAAACAATGACAACTTCTTTTGGTTGGCGATTAATAACTTATTGAACTAATAATGCTTTGTTATTTTTATCCTAGATTTGAATGGTGGTTAGTGTTAGGGTTAGGGCCAAGGTGTGAACCCTGCGCATGAACACATTTAATGAACCATGTTCCTTTTTTTAGTGAACGGTGAACTGAACGGATAAGATTTTAAGTAATAAACGTGAACCAGAGCAACGTTCACTCTGAGAATAATGAGGCACACACTCAGCTCACGATGGATTCAAATGATAATGACACTTTTCACTGGATTACGTCAGGTTTTACGGCACTTATTACGGTAAACAGGCTGACAGAGCAGCATGTCTGCTGCTAGCACTGGTCTCCATTCAGACTCATCTGCTGGGATTTCTAATGCCAGTTTAGCAGAGCGCTTGGCAGAATTAGATCCAGTAAACCTGGACTGCATCCAGGATTTTCCGTTTCTTTCTATATATTATGATCACACATTTAAAGGGGGAAATATCAGCTTTTATTGTGGAGGATTGTGGCTTCATTTACCAAATGAACTGGAATTAATTCATTAGGTTTGGGAACTTAGTTCATTTTTTGGAAAAGTGCACTATGAACATGAGGTCATTAATTTTCAGCTGTGCGAATTGAACTGTGAGCTCGCTCTGTTTAAGCCGTAACGGTTAGGCTTAGGGTAAGGGTCATGGTAAGGCTGTAGAAATGAATGGAAGTCAATGGAAAGGCCCCGCAAAGAGAGTGAGTTGTTGGTGATAAAGAGGTGTATGTGTGTGTTTATCATGTGCTGCATATGTGTTTGTCTGGGTTACCATCCAAGCCCAAGGCTCACTGCCAAACTAGTAAGTTCCAGAGCCAGGATGAGTGCAGGGTGGCACGGTTCACAGACGACATGGCACTGCAGCTTGTAAACGTCTGTGTAGGACGGTACGCTCCATGGGTGGGCTGGCCTGTTCAGCTGTCTCTTTGGCACCGCTGCCGTCTGGGCAGCAGCATTTCAACCAGACAAATGCAATACTAATGAAGAGCTTTTGACTTGTGGCACTAAACTCTTGAGCTGGTTGAGGCTCATTGTGCAATAAGCCATGAAAGTGTGACTGGTGAACATTGTGTCTTTATTGCTCTCTGCCTGCAGTAAAGCTTGTTTTAAATTGTCATTTTTAAAAAACATCCTGGAATGATTTAAGGGTTTTACTGTGGCTGGAAAAGTATCTCAAACAGCCTAATGCTGCTTTGTTGAAATTGATGACAACTACACAAGAAGGTTCATAAATTCAATTCTATTCAGATTATTTCTATAGCTCCAATTCACATCGTGTCATATCAGGTCACTTTGTAGAGACAGTTCACCAGATCATCCAGTCAGATTGGTTCAAAGTTTTCTATCTAAGGAAAACCAGCTGATTGCATCGACTCATTGACTCTTCAGCAATCCCTCACGCTAAGCATGCTTGTAGCGACAGTGGAGAGGAAAAACTCCCTTTGAACAGGAAGAAACCTCCAACAGAACCAGTGTTAGCGGCCATCTGCTGAGGCCGACTGGGGTTCAAATACGATCAGAGTAGTAGCATATATGAACTGAATTATTTCTAATTGACTGTGCATCAGTAAAAGTACTACTTCTGCCCCCATCTTCTACTTTAGGGCATCTGTCTCTCAGGCCACATAATCAGGGGAATAATCCTACAAAGTGTGATAAAGTCTGCTCTGTGGAACAGCAGGACCTGTCTGACATTAAACATGGGAAATACAACATATTGGATTTTGGTTGGTCTCAATCCCCCCAAGGACGACAGTGAAAGCAACATTCCATAACAACCTCTTAGGCTATTTTCTCACAATTACCGCTATTTGATTTTAGTTTGACCTAACCTCAAGCTTACAAATGTCTTAACCCAAGCTTTCTGACTTTCAGTCAGGCTTGCTTATTCCAGAGTCCATAGTTACAGAACTTCACTCTAACCATTGTGTGAAATGGCTTTGATTTCTACCTGCATGCATGGATCTGCTGCTTCATTAGTAACCGTTAAAATGTTCTCACTTTCCTTGACTGGTCCTTGGCTGGCCCTAAGATGGTCCTTGGCTGGCCCTTGATTAGTCCTTGGTTGGTCATTGAGTAGTCCTTGGTTGGTCCTTGGCTGGCCCTTAGCTAGTCCTTGGTTGGTTCTTGGCTGGTCCTTCGCTGATCCTTGGCTGGCCCTTGGCTAGTCCTTGGTTGGTTCTTGGCTAGTCCTTTGCTGATCCTTGGCTGGTCCTTGGCTGGCCCTTGGCTAGTCCTTGGTTGGTTCTTGGCTAGTCCTTGTCTGGCCTTTGGCTAGTGCTTGGTTGGTCCTTGGCTGGTCCTTGGCTAGTCCTTGGTTGGTTCTTGGCTGGTCCTTCGCTGATCCTTGGCTGGCCCTTGGCTAGTCCTTGGTTGGTCCTTGGCTGGCCCTTGGCTAGTCCTTGGTTGGTCCTTGGCTGGCCCTTGGTTCATCCTTGGCTGATCCTTGGCTTGTATTTGGCTAGTCCTTAGCTGGCCCTTGGCCAGTCCTTAGCTGGTCCCTTGGCTAGTCCTTGGTTGGTTATTGCCTAGTCTTTGGCTGGTCCTTGGTTGTCCCTTGGCTAGTCCCTGGCTAGACCTTGGCTGGCCCTAGGCCAGTCTTTGGTTAGTCCTTGGCTAGTCCTTGGCTGGTCCTTAGCTGGCCTTTGGTTTGTCTTTGGCTGATCCTTGGCTGGTCCTTGGTAGGTTCTTGGCTGGCCCTTGGCTAGTTCTTGGTTGGTTCTTGGCCAGTCTTTAGCTGGTCCTTGGCTGATCCTTGGTTGGTCACTGGCTGGTCCTTTGCTGGCCCTTGGCTAGTCCTTGGCTGGCCCTTGGCTTGTCCTTGGTTGGTTCTTGGCTAGGCCTTGGCTGATCCTTGGCATGTCCTTGGCTGGTCCTTTGCTGGCCCTTGGCTAGTCCTTGTCTGGTCCTTAGCTGGCCCTTGGCCAGTCCTTAGCTGGTCCCTGGCTAGTCCTTGGCTGGCCCTTGGCTTGTCCTTGGTTGGTTCTTGGCTAGTCCTTGGTTGGTCCTTGGCTGGCCCTTGGTTCATCCTTGGCTGATCTTTGGCTTGTCCTTGGCTAGTCCTTAGCTGGCCCTTGGCCAGTCCTTAGCTGGTCCCTGGCTGATCCTTGGCTGGCCCTTGGTTCATCCTTGGCTAGTCCTTGGCTGGTCCCTGGCTGGCCCTTTAGCAGGTCATTGACTGGCCCTTAGTTGGTCCTTGGCTTGTTCTTGACAGGTCCTTGGCTGGTCCTTAGTAGGTCCTTGGCTGGTCCTTGGCTAGAACTTAGTTGGATCTTGGCCAGTCCTTAGCTTGTCCTTTCCTGATCCTTGGCTGTTCCTTGGCTGGTCCTTGGTAGGTCCTTGGCTGATCCTTGGTTGGTCCTTGGCTGGTCCTTGGCTGGCCCCCTAAAATCCTTTTTAAACATCAATCGTTAAAAAAAACTAAAATATTTTTTCTGTAATGATTTGTGGACATTAAGATCTAAAGAGAAGTGCCATCTCTTGGTCAGACCCTGTAATTCAGTGAAAGGGTGGAGTTTTAAAAAAGTTAAAAAAAAAACTTTTTAAAAACTTTTTTTCAGAGTTTTAAAAAAAATATGCAAGTGGGGGTCACCGCAGTGGCTGGGAGTTGGAGGGGATTTTGTTGCCATTCGGCTGGCTTTGGACTGGCTTTTGACCATTTTGAATGGCTGCTACTATAGCTGCTACTCTGTCTACCTTTCTGTGTGGTGACAAACCTTCTTCAAGCATTTAACCACCATCTGAAGACCAGTAGGGAGAAATTTAGTGTGTTACTCTTGTTAACTATAGTGTGATTAAAAATCAGTGTGATTTGAAAATTGAAATTATATTGCAAATACAAGGAATTGCCCCGCCCTAAGTGGGACAGAAACTGTTTGATTTCTGAAACCCACATCCACCTGCATCTGTGAAGCCCAGAACCCAGACCTGGCCAGATTCACCCACAATGATACCGATTATAAAACCTGTGAGGAATAAAGCATGACTCAGTGCATCCAGACAGCCAATCGTTTACTTTAAGTTGGGTCAATAAACCTGTAATATACTATAACTACAGCTTCCCTGCAGCAACTATAAAATAGTGA